GCTACTCATGCTACTGATGCATGCTGATGCTACTGATGCCCCCTGATGCTACTGATGCCCCCTGATGCTACTGATGTATCCTGATGCTACTGATGCACCCTGATGCTACTGATGCACCCTGATGCTACTGATGCTACTGATGCACCCTGATGCTACTGATGTATCCTGATGCTACTGATGCTACTGATGCACCCTGATGCTACTGATGCTACTGATGCACCCTGATGCTACTGATGTATCCTGATGCTACTGATGCTACTGATGCATGCTGATGCTACTGATGCACCCTGATGCTACTGATGCACCCTGATGCTACTGATGTATCCTGATGCTACTGATGCACCCTGATGCTACTGATGCACCCTGATGCTACTGATGCTTACACTTTTATTTAATGCAATGTGCTTACATTGTTTTTACAGTTTTGGATTAATTGCTCTGAATCTGCTCTTATTTCAGCAAACGTCCTTTTTTTGAGTTTGTACTCCAGTTAATAGTTACCATATTTTCCGTACTATGAGGCGCACCTAAAAACCTTCAATTTCCTCAAAGGCCGACAGTGCGCCTTATAATCCGGTCCTTATATATGGACCAATATTGAGCCACAACAGGTCTAGCAACTACGGTAAGCAGCCGCCGACTTCATTTTTGCTGTAGAAGAAGAAGCGCGTGGTGCATGCTGGGATAGTTGTCAGAATGCTGGTTTGTTAATAAAGTTTGACTGACCTATCTACCTACCGACCGTCTAGAATCGGGTCGTCTGCAGGTCGTTTAGCACCACGTTCTCCACCAACATGTTGTGCGTGAATGGAGAAGGGTGACCATCGTCCGGCCACGCCCCGGCCGGAAGGAAGGCTTCCGGCCGGGCCGGAGGAAGGCTCTCCTTGCCGACCGGAGTCGGACTGTTTTGTTGACATTCCCTTTAGTACAGCTCCATCTAGTGGACGCATAACGTAACTCCAGCCTCTACTGTAGCGTCTATTTTATGCGCCTTATAATGTGGTGCGTCTTATATATGAAAAAAGTTTTAAAATAGGCCATTCATTGAAGGTGCGCCTTATTGTGTGGAAAATACGGTAATTAATTTTGTTCACGATTATATGAATAATCTATTATGATTCATCGTTTCAGCCTGGCTAAAACAGACTAAACTTTACCAAAATGATTTCTTCTGGCTAAAACCCAGAATAACAGTTTTTATGACTTTCTTCTTCAGCTTTTGGAGATTATAAAGTATCGCCTTCTAGAGTGTAACAAGCTTCTTTATGAACTGAATCCCATTTTTGTTCTCCCAAAAGGTTTCCACATCATTCCCAGAATTTCCCACATCGTTCCAGAAAGCTGCCTGCTGATCTTCGTCGGTCTGCTCATTGGCGGCGTCATCAAAGCGATCCAAGAGAAGGCGCCAGTCATGGACACCAAGCTCTTCTTCCTCTACCTGCTGCCGCCCATCATCCTCGACGCCGGCTACTTCCTGCCCATCCGGGCCTTCACCGAGAACATGGGCACCATCCTGGTCTTTGCGGTGGTGGGGACGCTGTGGAACGCCTTCTTCATCGGCGGGATGATGTTCGCCGTGTGCCAGATTGAGGCTGCCGCAGCCGCCCATGTTAGCCTGCTGTCCTGCCTGCTGTTCGGCTCTATCATCTCGGCCGTGGACCCGGTGGCGGTTCTGGCCGTGTTCGAGGAAATTCACATCAACGAGCTGCTGCACATCCTGGTGTTTGGAGAGTCGCTGCTTAACGATGCGGTCACAGTGGTAAGATGGACACCTCACTGCTGTCACAAGCGTGAGAAATTAAAAAAATCATTTTGGCATCAACTTGTGGAAAGCTCAGACCTTTCTGCTTGACTCAGCATTAATTATTGAGTTAATTTATTTTTCAATTAACTGATAAAGTGCTTAACAGAGTCTGAAAGTAACTAGAGTAAACTACATTTACTTAAAAATACTCAAAGGTTTTATTTGCCATAAATAAAACAATTTTATATTTTTGGCAGTTTTAGCGTATTTATTCTCTGAGTGTTGTTCTTTCAGTAAATTGTCATTTTTTTAAGTTTGTATTCTCCAGTTAACGATTAATCGATGACTAAATTAGTTGATGATTATTTCTACAATTGATTAATCATGATTAATAGTTTCACCTCTAATTTTGTGATTTTTCAGATGTAATATTTTTAGCTTTGCACAGATTTTGATGCAGTATCTACCATGCGATGTTCCTGCTTACAGGTTCTGTATCACCTGTTTGAGGAGTTTTCCCACGCAGACACTGTTACCGTTGGCGACGCCTTCCTCGGCGTGGTCTCTTTCTTCGTGGTTTCGCTCGGCGGCATCCTGGTGGGTGTCATCTACGGCGTCCTGGGTGCCTTCACGTCCCGCTTCACCTCGCACTTCCGCGTCATCGAGCCGCTGTTCGTCTTCCTCTACAGCTACATGGCGTACCTCTCTGCAGAGGTCTTCCATCTGTCCGGGATCATGTCGTAAGTGGAGAAATAAGATAAAACCAGATTTTAGGGAAATGTTCCGTCTCGTTCAGGTTTAGTTGTTGTTTCTGGCGGCTCGGTGTCGCATACCGCAGCAGAGGTCTAGCGCTCAGGCTGAAACATTCTTTCATGTCGATGTTAAGCTTTTGAGAACTTCATCACCTCCTTTCTCTCAAACAGTTTGATTGCCTGTGGCGTCGTCATGCGGCCATATGTGGAGGCCAACATCTCCCACAAGTCCTACACCACCATCAAATACTTCCTGAAGATGTGGAGCAGCGTGAGCGAGACGCTAATCTTCATCTTCCTCGGGGTTTCCACAGTGGAAGGCCCTCACAACTGGAACTGGATCTTTGTGGTCTTCACCCTCGTCTTCTGCCTCCTTTCCAGAGTGTTGGGTCAGTTTAAACAGTGATCCAATGATGGCTGAAACAATTAATCAAATTAATCGTGATTAATCGATTGTTGAAATAATGACACAACGTTACGGTCTAGACTTTTTCAACTTACTTAAAGGTTTGGTAGTCTAAAAGACATTGAAGAAAGTCATAAAGCTCTCATTATTCTGGGCTTCAGCAAGTAGAAATCATTTTGGTGTCTGATTGAATGGGCTGAAACGATTAATCAAATTAATTGATTAATCACGCTTAATAGCTATATTATTTAGTAGGCTTATTTTGTTATCTAAATAAGCTTATTTAGCTAAATAAGCTTATTTAGCTAAATAAGCTTATTTAGCTAGTTAAGTTTAGCTAGGTTACATTGACTAAGTTTAGCTAGTAGCTGTTTGGTTTTAGACATTTTCTACACATGAATAACAATGTTACCAACTAGTCAAATGAAATTTTTAAAACAAAGTTATATTGTTTTCAAAATGAAATCAAATTATCTACTATTCCACATTTTAGTGACTAAATATTTTTCTGCTTTTATTTTCCGTTCTTTTCTGTAAAACTGATTCTGTCTGGCTTTCTGTGTATTTCAGGAGTCGTTGGCCTCACCTTCATTATAAATAAATTTCGTATTGTGAAGCTGACCAAGAAGGACCAGTTCATCGTGGCCTACGGTGGCCTGCGAGGTGCAATTGCCTTCTCTCTGGGATACCTTATACACCAGGATGAGGGCAGCAAAGACACGAGGGGCATGTTCCTCACCGCCATCATCACAGTAATCTTCTTCACCGTCTTTGTGCAGGTGTTGTTATTTAAATGTTTGTTTGTTTGTTTGTTTTTTTAGGTTTTATTGGCTCTAGTGGCCTTTATTTGATAATTAACTGACAGGAAAGTGGGTAATGAGAGAAGGGGAAGACAAGCAGCTAAATGACCTGCACTAACGAATTAGCCCACTTTGGTTTGTTTTGGAGCAACATGGGGGGCCGGTGACGTCATTGGCCAAAATGATAACTTTTAATATCTCAGAAATCTAAGCTGGACAAACGAAAATTTTAACGGCACAAACGGAGCACTCAGACGATTTGCTGGATTTTTTGACGTGGGTGGGGTGTCAGCTTCACACAGCTCGGCAAATGTTGCCAGGCCGGGACTCGTACCTGCGACGGCCGCGTCCAGGATGAAGGCCTCCGTATGTGGGTTGTGCTGAACCCCTGCGCCACCACAGCACCCCACAAATGTTTTTACTTTTAGGATGATTAGAGCAGCTTGTCTGTAAATTCAACTGGTATTGGTTCCCGTACTCAGGGGATGACCATCAGGCCTCTGGTGGAGCTGCTGGCAGTGAAGAAGAAGAAGGAGAGCAAACCGTCAATAAACGAGGAGATTCACACTCAGGTGGGACTTTCAGCCGTTGATGCGAACCAAATCAACGTGTAAATAACTGGATTTTAATTTAAATCTTGTCGATAGTTCCTGGACCACCTGCTTACAGGAATCGAAGACATCTGTGGACATTATGGACATCATCACTGGAAGGACAAGTAGGACATTTCAAACTTTTACCCTGTGTGTTAATGTCTGATGAACAAATAAGGTATTAAAATTAAGTTTTAAAAAAGTTCCTGAGAATTGAAAACCAAAGTCAGCTGCTCAGCCTGGCAGCATCATGCTGAGGGACTGGAAAGCTCTGCAAGTCCTTGATGATCGCAGAGCAAAACTTGTTAGAAGACCCGAACATGCAGCCACAGGTTTAGATCAAAGCAGATTTATAGTTAAAGTTGGCCTAGTCAAAGTCCAGACCTAAATCCAACTTGGAATCTGTGGCAAAACTTGAAAACTGATTTTAACAGATGTTCTTCATCCAATCTGACAAAGCTTTACCTTCTAAAAGCTTTTTTTAAAAGCTTTGTTTAATGCACTGCATTAATGTTGCTGCGATAAAAATGCATGCCACACTTTTCAGACTTTTATAAAATCTAGATATTTTAATATTAATTTTGATATTTGTGTGTTTGAATATGGAAAAGTTGGATTTCTGACCGCATGCAGCTGGTTTTACTTTGAGGTTTTGTGAGAGAAAAACGCAGGAAGTGGTTTGTTGGTTTGTTTCTGCAGAAAAAGGCGACGCCATGTTGTTAAAGAAATCATGTTTGTGCTTTTAGCAGTTAAACTGAATGCATCGTTTTCTGAATCATTTTAAATCAACATGAGCTGAATTCAGTTTATAAACACCAACTGTAAAACTGGTTTCCGGTTCAGGAAAGTTTTATTTTTCTGTTTCAGGCTGAATCGCTTCAATAAGACGTACGTGAAGAAGTGGCTGATCGCAGGCGAGCGCTCCAGCGAGCCGCAGCTCATCTCCTTCTACAACAAAATGGAGATGAAGCAGGCCATGATGCTGGTGGAGAGCGGGAGCGCCGCCAAGCTGCCCTCCGTCATGGCCGCCGCCCCCGCTGCCCCCGCCGCCCCCGCCCAGTCAGTCTCTCTCTTTATATTAATTTTATCTGGTGAATTATCATGTATCCTTTTCATGCCTTTTTGTTTAATTCCAGTTACACTGGTTTAGTGTGCAGCGCTGTAAAAAAGTGTTTAGTCAGCAATCCCTCATACCGGACAAGCATGAGGCAACAGTGGAAAGAAAAATCTCCATTTTAGCTCCAATCTGAGCAAGAAGCTGGGGTTAGAGAAGAACCAGACACACAAAAAGCACAGAATCAGGACCAGGAGTACTTTCTATTTTACAGGAAAGTCCAAGAAACTTTGAATGAGGAGAAACTTCTGTGTTAAAAAGTCCCAAAATATATAGGAGTTCTGGTTCAGAAGCTCTTTGTGTTAAAGGGAAAGTCCAAAAAACAAACTATGGGTGACAAGAACCTTCTATGTTAAAGGAAAAGTGAAAACACAGAACCAGCACCAGGAGTACTTTCTGTAAAGCTCCTCTGGTCCGGGGGTACCTTCCATGTAAAAAGGTTAAGAGCTAAAAAGTTAAAATAGGCCCAGAAGCTTTGGGTGGGGAGAACCTTCTACGTTAAAAAAATGACAGAAAACGCAGAAGCTCTGATCCTGGATTACTTCCTGTTCCTTAAAGAACCGCGGAGCAGCAGAGCGAACCGACACCAGAGCGAATGATCCCCAAGATCTCAAAGACCCGCGAAGCCGAGATCCGCCGGATCCTTCGGGCCAACCTGCAGAACACGCGGCAGAGGGTGAGGAAGAGCGATGACGACGATGATGAAGGTTCTCACTTCCTGTTGCAGCAGGAAGTCAGCTTTTTTTCCCTCTCCCTCTCAGCTGCGCTCCTACAGCAGACACGACTTCTTCATGGACCCGTTTGAGGACAACATGAGCGAGGTCCGCTTCCGGCGGCAGCGGGTCGAGATGGAGCGGCGGGTGAGTTCTGGTTCCGGTCCATCACCTCCGAACCGGTCCATCAGAACCAAACCGGTCCATCAGAACCTCCGCCCTTAACGCTTTCTGTCTCCTGCAGATGAGCCACTACCTCACCGTCCCGGCGAAGCAACAGGAAACGCCGTCGGTCCGGAAGGTTTGGTTCGAACCAGGTTGGTTTCCATGGAAACGGGACACCTTCAGTCAGAAACATTAAAGCTTTTAATGTTTTTTTTACTGACATTTAATAACCTCCACAGGGAAAAGAGACATTAAAGTTAAAAACAGAGATGCGCGATATATCGGCACGAACATCGGTATCAGTCCGACAAATAAAACTGGATCGATATTAACAAACGATATTTATTTTTTAACTTGTTGCTGTCTGTTTCATTACCTAACCTAGGCCGGTAGGTCTAGGTTTCTAGAAACGATAGTGAAATATATAAAATATTGGTAAAAATCGGTAATCAGCCCGGATTTTCATATCAGTGCATCCCCTTGTGAAAAGCTTTAATTAAAAACTTAATCATCTAAGTTTATTGACAGATATAATTTCCCAAGGATGAATTAGATTTTTTTTTCAAAACAAATAAAAATGTTTAACTGCTTGTTATTTTACTACATTTATTTTGCCTCTTTTCAGTAAAACGTTATTAGTTATTCTGATCCAATAAATTATCACAACCAGGAACTCAACTTTAATTTCATGTAAAATATTTTCTGAAATTACTGCAGATTTCTCTGCAGATTTAATTTATTTTCCTATCTTGTTGTAATTCTTATTTTATTTTCATTTGATTTAAATATTTTAATATGAATTGCTGGGATACGTGCACCATTCAGACCTTCATTAATGTTTTTTATGCTTGAAAATAAATTAAATTCAATAATTTGTTGCTTTCTTTAATTGTTTTAAACTTTTTATTTAAGAGCACAAAGTCTACACCTACGATAAGAACGAGAGCACCCGGCCGTCCGACAGCGCCGCCCTGCTGGACGAGTCGAATCAGCGCGCAGACGGCCAATCAGAGAGGGAGAAACCGACTCGCTGCCTGAGCGATCCTGGTCCCGATGAGGAAGGAAGCTGCTTCCTCCCGTCATGATGAAGGTTTCCTCTCTGGACTGGTTGTTCTTGATGTGTGATATGAGGTGACGCATTTCAGTGTTTTCAGCACCAAACGGACTCTTCAGGGTATTACGAAGCACAAAAGAAAGATTATCAATGAAGTAAGTTGATCGATCAGTTTTACAGCTGAATGAGTCATCAGTCAGTTAATTTTATAAAGATGATTAATAAAAGAGCAAAAAGGAAACACCTGGAGGGAAAATGGAAAGAAGGGAGGAATGGAGGAATTTACTGCATATAATCCATAAATATCCAGCCTTAGAAGAAATTCCTGACCTGGATGCAGTTTGGTCAACTCGCATCCAGTTGACCAAACTGGATGCTTTAAAATGCATTTTAAATCCTGCATTTTAAAGGATTTAAAATGCAGAGATGAAGCATCTAAAATGACCACAGGGGGGCGCTTCAATCACTCCAGATCATACAGCCCGTCCTGGTTTGTCCTGCTGACTCTAAACACCTGCTGCTCCAACCGACTGACAGACGCTTCAGTGACTCCAGATACTGTTTATAAAGTTACACTGTCAAAAATTAACAGCAATAGTTTGGATTATTTAGCTGGTCATGAAAACAATGTGGATTAATTTTTCAAAGTCATATTTTCACCATGTCATTCATTTATAAATGTCAACGTTTCAGACTGGATCTGATATTTGTGAATTAATGAATGACATGGTGAAAATAAGTCTTTGAAAAGTGAAACCCCATTTTTTCTGATATGGTTGAATAACTCAGAATGTTGCTGTTCATTTTTGACAGTGTAACTTTATAAACTGCACCGCACGTGTCACTGCCTGACGGTGAGGTTACATCACTTCCGCCCCCTGGTGGCTGGATGTGGACCAAACTATGTCCCGCTCCTCCTGAGTAGCAAACTGTTTATTTGACTGTAAATCAGTTACTTTTGAAAGCTTGAACTATGTGTGTCTGTCTATGATTTCTGCTGATTTTGTGGATAAAAGCAGCATAAATTAAGTTGATCACATCACCGCAGACACCAAAGGCAGCTGTGCCGATTCTTTAGTGATCATGTTCGACTAATTATGTGTTTTACAACAAGCTTGTGCCTTATTCAGTTGCATTTCATTTATCTTAATATCATGGGATTAAGTGAACAAAAACTTCAACATATTTTTCCATGTAATTAAGAGATAAATATTGTAAAGGTGACCAAACGTCTAAACGACCTTTAATCACCTCCTGACTCATCGTGTTGCCTCAGGGACTCAAATGTAGCTTGTCGGATCCCGACTGCTGAAGGAAAACTCCGGTTTGGAGATTCAAACAGGATGTGATGTTTCATCAACTTCCTCCTCACTGAGCTTTAAGGCGTTTTAATGCCTGCCTGCATCTCTTTTGTCTTACAAGCTTTTATATTTTGTGTTGCTGACATTTATCTCATGAAGAAAAACTATAATAAAATAAATTTACTGTTAATTTGGCTCAGTTTGTTGTTTATGGTGTTGAAGTTTAGAAAAGAACTAAAAACCCATCCATTTATTCCAGGAACTTTATAACCAAGTGAAACATGTATATGAATATTTAAAACTTTATTTTTGTTAATTATTATGATTTTTCACTTGCAGATAATTCAAACATGACATTGAAAATTAGAATATTACACCAGACCATTCAAACACATTTTGATGCAGAAATGTAGCCAAAATGATTAGCATGGTTAATACTTGCTTAAAGGTTAGTTTTCAATAAAATTATGCACCAAATTGATGGCTGAATTACAGAAAAAGAAAGTGTTAGGTTTTACTTCATTGCGTATTCTCATTTTTCCATATTCTGTATTTATTTAATTTATATAATTTTTCTAATTTCATCATTGCACTTTCTCTCCTCCTGCTTTCTCCTTTGTCCATTAATTTACAGGTTTATTATTATTAAATCAAATAGGTTTTCATTTAAATAAACAAAATAGAAAATACAGAAAATGGAAACAATTTTCAAAAATGTGATATCAAATTAAAACTTATTGAAAGAAGAATCTCAAAAAAATGAAAAAGCAATGAAATAGAAAAGGAAATAAAATGGAAAATTAAATATTGCAAATAAATGAATACTGTTGAAAATAAGTTAGGAAAGTTCCATTATTAATTAATTTTGATGTAATATTTGGTGCAGTAATTACTGTAATAAGCCATTTATTTATTTCTATTTTTGCCAATTTTGTCTGGATTGATCCTCCATAGAGGAGAACATACAAACTCAGATGTTGGTGTTTAAAACGTTGGTAAAAAGTGCAATAATGACACATGTTGGTCTGCTGGAAAGCTCTGTTCTCAAAGGAAACGCTGCTGACAAACAGCAGGGAGCCAAAAGTCCCCAACCTGGCAACCCGCTGCTGATGTTACTTTGACTATAACCCAGGGGTGTCAAACTCCAGTCCTCAAGGGCCGCTGTCCTGCAGTGTTTAGATGTGCCACAGGTAAAAACCAGTGGAATGAAATGGCTTAATTACCTCCTCCCTGTGTAGATCGGTTCTCCTGAGCCTTGCCAATGACCTAATTATTCTTTTCAGGTGTGGTGCAGCAGAGGCACATCTAAAAGTTGCACGACAGCGGCCCTTGAGGACTGGAGTTTGACACCCCTGCTATAACCTCTGAACACACAACACAACCAGCAGACATGGACTTCAGCGGCACGTGGAAAGTTTATTCTGAGGAAAACCTGGAGGAATTCCTCAAAGTCATTGGTAAGAAGACAATTAAAATGGAGTTTTTTTCCCTGCACGTCCTTAAACGTATCTTTCAGGGGCGCCAGAGATGGTGGTGAAGATGCGTAAAGATGTGAAACCAGAGCTGGTGATCGAGCAGAACGGCAGAGACTTCACCTGCACCATGAAGACTCCGTTCTCCAGCCGCGTCAACTGCTTCACCGTCGGGAAGGAGTCGGAAATCTGCACCCTGGATGGCAGGAAGGTCAAGGTGAGTCAAACCTCCGCCTGCACAGAAAAAACAGGAGAAAAAGCAAAAGAAGAGTTTAAAAGTCAAACATTTGCAAGAAGGAAACTCAAAAACATTTTTAGTTTAATTCCCCAAGAACCCTTCTGGGTTGAAAAAGTGAAAAATTTCCCAAACCTCCCCCCCCCCCCCCCCCCAAAAAAAAAAAAAAATTTAGATTAACCTCAGAAATTTTCTAGAAAAAACTTGGGGATTCCCGAGTTTCAAAAATATTCAACTTTTTAAACTTTATAATTTCTAAAAGCCAAAAACTTTCTGAGTTTTCTTGCAAATTGTCCACTTTTTACACTCAGAAATTTCAAGTTTTTTTCCCTAGAAAATTTCTGAGTTGTTTTCTGGCGGGAATTTACTCCTATTTTGTTTGTTTCTGCAGTTTCCCTGATATGCTGTTGTGTACATCAGATCTGATTGAAATGTATTTGCAGAAAACTTTAGGATCTGTATATTTTTGCCTTATTCCTGTTCCGATGCAGTGCACCGTCAGGGAAGAAGATGGGAAGCTGATCTGTGAGACATCAAAGTTCACATCTGTCCGAGAAATCCAAGGGGATGAAATGATCGATGTGAGGAGCCAACGTGAAAATCTGACTTTTATTGTTCTCATTTATATAAAGTTATGTGTTTTTTCTTCTTCTGCTTCCTTTTTCCTCCAGACGATCACCGCTGGATCTGTAACTTTCATCAGCAGAAGCAAAAGAGTCTGATCAGCACATAAACAACCTGATTAATCTCATTTAAAGCCATGGATATTTATTTTGATCAGGAATTTTGCAAAATAAAAGATATAAAAAAATGTGTTGAGTGCAGTTTACTAAACTCTAGATTAACTATTTTTCAGCAATAAATGTTGCAGCAGGTGACTTGGGGACAATTCATTGAAAAATTATCCATTTTGCAACGAATGGATAATTTATGTCATACCTTATATTAAATGTGTTTCATTATTGTTTCTTCCAGTTAAGGGAAGAAACAATATCACCCCCTGCTGGTCAGGAGGAGTGAATGCTACAAGTCAACTACTTTAAAATGAAACAACCCTTAGACCTCTGGGACACTCAAACCCCTCCACCACGACAAGGTGGCAGCCCAAGAGGGGAAAAACCAGAAACAGGTTAGCTGATCTGGAGAGAGCCATTACTGGTCTGGTATTAGACCAGTAATGGTGTAACACCAGAGCGTGGTCCAACACTCTCTGGTGTTAGTGTTGCTCTCAGTCAATACCTGGGGGTTTTAACTGATGTAAAATGTCTGCCTTCAATCAGCCTGGTTCTGGTTCTGTTGGTTTCTTCCCGTTCCTTTCCTTACAGACAGAGATTTTAATCTCAATTATTAAGTTTTATGACCTTTAAGGACTGCGAGTAAAAGGCTGGCAGTTATCTGTATAATACGGAAAATTTATGGGAAAATACTAATACGGGAAAGAGGGATAACGGGAGACTTGATAGGTTGTTTCAAACCATTTGCAGGATCCTTTCTTCATTTAATTTTTTTTAAATTAATGAACATTTTTGTTTACAAGTACAAAGAAACAGAACACAATATATTATAAAGTATGCCAGGGGTGTAGCTTTCAACAGTAAATACATTGGTATAAAAAAACAAAAAGAACAGAGAGCAGATATTACAGACACGACAAATTAAAAATATTCAGAGATCTACAACATTCACAGCTTTTTTGTTCATACTCTTGGAGATAGTGGATAAATAGAGTTCGACTTCCTTCACCAAAATTGTAACAAAACAAAAAAAAAGGTGAAGATGATGAAAATTTACATTTGTGAATATGAAATGTGCCAAATATAATAATTAGATTGATTGCCAGTCTTTGGTCTGCATTAATCTTACGATGAAAGCCAAAAATAACATGTTCTTACCTCAGGGAATATTTAGCATCAATATAACAATTTATAAAGTTATTAGTTATTAGTTATTAGGATCAGTTCTTCATAACAACGGACCAATTTAGGGTTATTTAATCAAACACCGGTGGGGGCGCTGCGGAGATTCTGGTTGTGTGGAAGAAGAAGTAAACGGCGCTCTATAACTGCGCAGTCTCTCTACTGGTAGTTTTTCCGTTGGGTTGGTTTCGGTTAGGATAAGATTTGTTTTTTTTTTCCCTCTGCTGATTGTGTTTCAGTGTATTTCCGGATACATGAGGCCACCGAACACGTCTCTGTTTGTCCGGAACATCTCTGATGAGTCCAGGTGAGTTTTCAGGAGCTGATTCAGGTTCGGGCTAGCGGCAGTTAGCTGCACGTTAGCTTAGCAGCTAAAGATAGCCGCGTGCTCAAGGACTAAAAATAAACTAGAGCGGACGTGCCTACAAAAACAACTTTGTTTTCAGACTTTACCTGCTGTTACATTGTGACTTATTGTATTTAAAATCACCCCTGTGTTATTTTAACTAGTTTTAATTTGGAGTGAAGCTAACAAGCTAACATGAGCTGATGAACAATGGTCTGTGAATGTTTCTGAACTTAAAATCTGTTTTAACTGTATCTAAACGACTCATTAAAACTAGCAGCACTTTGGGTCAGAACCAGAGGTGGGTGCAGTACCGAAATATTATACTTAACTGAGGGGTAATACTACCATATATATATATATATATATATATCTATCCCAAATGGATTTTTTTTTTTATCTGAAGTGAAAGTAAAAAAGTTGTCATTCAAGAAATGACTAAAGTGGGAGTAAAACGGTGTTTAATAAAAACTGATAACACCTGAATTATTTTAAAATAATGTTACCATGCAACCAGTTATATATTTATGTACAAAGTATATTATTTTAAAGACTAAAATGATAAAAACGGTTCAAATAATTACAGATTAACACATTTTAAGCAGAAAAAGCACTTTCCAATCATTTATTTATATAAAACTTATTCTTTACTGCAAGCAGTAGTTTTTATGTTAGAATAGGGTAATGTATTTTAAGTGTATAAATATTGTATTTTATTGTATTTTCTAAACCAACAGTTTGAGCCAATAGTAAATGGAAACAAGAGGTCTCACTTTAACCTAAAATGTAGATGAATTTCTGGTTTAATTATTATTCTATATTCAGTGGACTCTATAATAATATTGCAGTCAGAGGTACGATGTATAAACTACTTCTAAAAGTATTTTTTCAAATATTTACTCAAGTAAATGTAACTAGTTAAAACCCACCTCTGGTTTAAACTAGTAAATTGAACATTACACCTGAAATTGGCATTTTTTAATTCTGTGTTAAATCAAAGGTCTGTATTTCTCTTACCTGGGTTTTGAAATTAAACTCACTAAAACTGTATAGACTATAGTTTAGTGTTGCAGCTGGTGGTGTGGAAACTCCATCAGTTACTATATTCTTAAAAAAAAATGTGGCAACTACCTTTGAAATGTTTTTGTAAGAAAAACATTAGTACTCTAATTAAAACTACATGTTGATTAGTAGTAGTTACTCATGAATAATTAAATTTAAAATGAAAATCAAACGTTCTGTAACCTGGTCTCCTCAGAATTCAACTTGAAATGTTTTTATTTTCTAATTTTGCCTCAGGAATGTCAGGTTTCACTGATTCAATGTGGTTTTGGTGAACAGGGATTGGTTTGGATTTGCAAGGAGCTTTCAGGTCTAAAATGAACACCAGGGGGAGCTAGTGATGGCATCAGGAGTCGGCAGAGTTATCAGTCTGTCCATGAACTAATGGTAATAATAACGTTTTATTTTCTTTTTAGTAAGATGTGTAATAATACCGGAGCGTCGTAGGATGAAGACTTCACAATATTTTATTGTTTTGTAACTATATACCATCCCTCCAGTTTTTCATGAAAACACAATTTTTCAGTTATGAAAACACAAAATCAAAAGATCCCTGCATTTTTTTTTTATCACGCTGAAGCATAATAGTCAGTTTATTTTATTGCAAAATTTCTGCATTAATGATCAAAAACACATTGGGTTGAAGTGATTCTAACTCCCGCCTGCAGGGGGCGGTATTTCTTCCACTACTCTGCTACCTCAGCCCAACTTCATGTTGACTTATCGTCCGTGATCCATGTGAATGCTTATGTGATCTTTTTTTATTCTACATGTAGATTTTAGAGAAGGTTTAATCAGGAAAAAATATTATTCTTTTAAAATAGCAACACAAAATCAGAGATTTTAACTGCAAAAAAGACACAAATAGAAGTTGAAATCCTGGAGGGACGGAGTATCTTTTGTTTTGGATGCGTCGCTGCTGAAGGAAGTAACTCAGTCAATTTGTCCAGGAGTTGGAGCCGGATGTGTCTGAAAGCTGCAGCAGCCAGTATGGACCGAAAGTTTTACCACAATATTATGATAATGTAAAAGTGATGAGAACTGTTATAGTCACACAAACGCAAATTTGGCCAGTCGCAATAAATTAATGATAAATTAAAATGAGCTCAATAATTTCCATTTGGATGATTTATCGTTTTTCTCTTTCTACCAAAAACTGGATGATAAAAGTTTCCAGTTTGGTGTTTTGGTCTCAACTAAACCTTTTTCTGAAGCATAGTTTTGTTTACATAAACTTCATAATTCATTTTATTTGTTGTTTGTGTTTTTATTTATGTTTTTTAACTCCCGTGTTAAATGTTCATTAGAAGATGAAGTTTATTGATCTTTGAAAAAGTGAACTTTCAGTGTTCGGCCATTATTATTACACTAAATGGTCTAAAAAATATGATTGATTATCGTATTAATTTCTGCTACAGTTTTATCATCCAGCAGAATTTGTTGTGACGGCGTAAAACAAATGATGTTCTTGGAAAACATCATTTGTTTCTTTGGGACAGCAGTGATATAAAGTGTGATTTGTGTGAGAAAATGCACGTAATCATATTTTCAAACTTATTGATGCGCTTTTATTGATTAAACAGAGTAAAATATTAAAAATAATTCCAACAATACGGGCAGCTTTAGGGGTCTTTAACATCATTAATTGGAGTTTGTTGTGCGAAGCGATGGTGTTTCATTCCAGACGAGCTCCTTGCAAAGCTCATCACCTCCATCCAAACCAAAGTCTGACCTTAAACAGCAGAGTGTGTCTTTCTGTTAATTTAAATGTTGAAACGTTTGTTTTAACTTGTGTTGGATGCTTCCTAACAGTTAATTTGCAGAGAAGTGAATGTGTTAACCTGCAGCTGTGATGTCCAGGTAGTTTAGAGCTGAAGTGAGCAGCTGCTCTGTAGATGATGCTGCAGCAGAATGAGCCATCAGCTGAGTCACGCTTGTATTTGCGGTGTTCAGGCCTGAGGATTTGCGGCGTGAGTTTGGCCGCTATGGGCCGATAGTAGATGTCTACATCCCACTTGACTTCTATACACGACAGCCAAGAGGATTTGCATACATTCAATATCCTTTCCCAACGCTAACCGCTCACTTCTCTCTGCACAGAAACATCTGCTCTCTGGAGTTTTTCTGATTTTATTTCTGATAAATATTCTGACTGAATATCTAACATTGATATTTTTCTGTTATTGCTTCAGAAAATGTAAAAGCATCCGGTTGTGGAAGCAGCCACAGAGTTACAAAGACCCGTGTAGAGTAGCTGTAAAGACACAGAGCCCAGAGGGAGGGAAAAGGTTGAACAGAAAGTAAAGCATGAAGAGGAAAAGGGAACCAAGACAAAGCTTGGAAATGGCGGGAAAAGAAAAGAGGTTTAAGAGGAAAGAGCAAGCAGGAAATCCAAGTCTCTCTGGGAGTCGGTTAAAGAGTGTAAAGATCAAGATCAAAGTCAAGCATGGCCAAAGGTAACAAGTCTGAATTATTTTGTATCCTCCCAAAAAAAACAAACAAAAAAAAACAAATCCATAAATCTGACACCAAAAATCAGCTGCTAGACGCTTTTTAATTTTGGTCAAAACAATCTGCTGATAATGTTTTATTTTTTATATTTATTGTCCTGATCCTGAAACGCTTGCTTCATCTTTTATCTCTACAAAACAAACCCAACCAATCAAGTGTTTGTTTTCTCACTTTGCCTCTTCCTTTTATCTGTGTCATCGTTTTTGACCTGGTCAGTTAAAGTTCATGTTCTGTGCTGCCTTCATATCCTGACTCTAACGTTCCCAAACCAACCAGGGGATCTGGAAATGTCCCCGTTTGTTTTTCAATCCAAAACGACAAACTGAAACCTTAACCACTCAGCATATTTGAGGATGTGAGAGACGCTGAAGACGCTCTGCACAGCCTGGACAGGAAGTGGGTCTGCGGCCGCCAAATCGAGATCCAGTTCGCCCAGGGAGACCGCAAGAGTGAGAGTCCACCTTTCCTTTCTGTCCCACTTTTAGGGAACTGGTTTTTATTTTTTACGCTTCCTGGATTTCCTCTCCAGCTCCCAACCAGATGAAGTCGAAGGAGCGGCGTTCCCCGGGACGATCTTCTCGCTACGACGACTACGACCGGGACGGCTGGCGCAGGAGATCCCGCAGCCGCAGCTACGAAAGATACCGATCCCGCAGCCCATCGTACGACCGGCGCCGCCGGCGGTCCGAGAGTCCCAGAGAGTGAGTCGAGTTCAGCGGCAGGACGACTGCAGCCTCCTGCTGGAGCCATTAATCACATTGATCAGTAATCAATTAAACACCAACTGAAGCATGAAAACATTTGCTCAGATTCAGAGCAGCAATGAAGCCAAAACTGCACAAAAATAAACATTTTACATTTAAGACCATCTGGACTTAAAGGGCCAGGAATCTTAAAGAATATAAACTTGTGACTTTGAATAAAGTCATAAATCTCATCATTTTGGTCATTTGTTTGTAAATCTGTTTTACCAGAAAAGTTCTGTAAGAAAAAATCATATTAAGTACATTTAACTACCAATTATTAATCAGTTAATCAATAAATCGCCTGTTCAGATCTACAGTTTACTGATGTTAGAGTTTTTTAGCTTCAGATGAAGCTGCTGATGTATTTTAGGCAAAAAATAAGAAAAACAGTTAAAGGCGGCCGTCTTCCACAGGTCGATTTACTTTATTTATTTTTAATATCTCCCCTTAAACTGTGTCTCTTCCCTCTTTCAGGGAAGAATTCCTGATTATTGTGGGGTAAAAGAGTGACATTGTTTTATTTGTAAGGTCTCGTGGACGGATGTACGGAAGAGGACGAAGCAGGAGCCGCGAAGACGACAGGTGAGCTTCTGTCGGTTTTCTGAAAACCCGTTCAGGGCCGTCATGTAACGGAAAAAAGAACATTTGCGATTAGTATTAGTGTCTTTTAGAAAAAAACATCAAAATTTGAGTTTCAAAAGTCACACATTTTTTAATTTTGAAAGTCAAAATTTATTTGAAAATTTTGACTTTCAAATAATTTTTTTTTTTTAATTTAAAAATTCAGATGTTTAAAAAGGAATACATTTCCACGAAAAATTTAGATATTTAGATTAGTCTCAGATGTTTTTGAGAAAAAACAAGAACATCTCTGAGCTCAAAAAATATAAAATTTGAGAGAAAAGTGTCTGTGAAATTTTCCAGAAAACAAAGTAGACTTGGTAGAAAGTTTAAAATTTTTAGATTAATCTCAGAAATTTCCAAACTTTAGAAACAAAAATTTAAATTTTTGTTGTTGTTGTTCTTTTACATATTTGAGATTAATTTTCTTTCTAGCAAGTTCTCGACTTTTTAAGTTCAGAAATTATTCTGGAAACAAGTTTCAAATGTTATATATACATTTATACAAACACACACAGCAACTTTCTAGAATTTTGTATATATAAAATTCTAGAAAGTTTGAATGTTTTCTTTTTATCAAATTTGACTTTTCAAGCTCAGAATTGTCCATGTTCCTGAAAGTTTAAGATCAACTTAAACTTTCAGGTGGAATGAAAAAATATATCATCAATAATGAACCATGGCAGTTTTCCCACCATTATTAGATATTTATCTGTAGATAATATTTATTTGGACCGCCTGGTTGGTCTCTGTGCCTGCAGGTACCGACAGCGGCCCCGTAAGGAGTCCAGACGGAGGTCGCGGTCCCGCTCCGCGTCTCCGCGGGAGGCCATGAACCCGGCGGCCGCCTCCCACTACACAGAGGAGCCGCCGCCGCCGCCGCGCCACGCCCCGTCCCACTCCAAGTCCCGCTCCATGTCCCGCTCCCGTTCCCGCTCCCGCTCCTGGGCCGGCCGGAAGTCCGGCGGCCGCTGACGGGCCGATCTCCTTTCATACTTTCATATGAATGTGACGCCGTTTGTAGGAAGCTCCATGTTTTCCAGGCCTGCGCGCCGCTGATCCTTTTGGTTTTATAAAAATATTTCTGTCTTTTTGTTTTTCTCCCAGTTGGAATACAAACACTGGTTGGTGCGTCTTGAGGTAAACTTGCCGCGGTTCAAATGTTTCTACTCGGTTTCTGATTTTTCTGCAGCAGCTTTTATTTGCTAAACTAAAACATTCAGTATTTGCTGCTAAAACCCAGCAGGTGTTTTAATCCTGTTCGCCATGCGGCTCATCGCAGCTGATGCAACCGATGACCAGTTTAAATGTGAGACGACGGCGTAGCAGGGCCATCGCCGATTGGAAACAAAAAAAAGTAAATTTATAATAAAAGATCTCAGATTTGTTTAAAAAAAAACAAAAAAAACAATTTGTTTGCTCTTTTTGTTGGAAATATACTTTTTTTTATTATTTTTAATTTCCAAAAGCCCTACTACTCTGTCGTAAGACGCTCAAAGTGTTAAACATTTTTATTTTTATGGTGTTTTCTTCTAGTTTCTGTTCCGAGTCGTTCCTCGTTTACTCCAGTGTCCCTGCATGTCTTTTTCTCCCCGTCTGCTGTCTTTATTAGAAAGAAACTTTTATTTTCAGTAATAAATTGACAACATTCAATACCAGAGCTCCTGTGTTTGGCCTCGGTTTGTGAACTCCTCCCCTCGGAGGATTCGGATCCGCCGTGAGAACCGAGTGTCTGTGTCAGATCCAACTGGATCCAAAATAATCGATTTCCTGTTAATGGAACAGCAGCCGGAGGAGGAATGAAATTAAAAACACAGCAGAGACGCGGCCATGTGTGAAATCGGACGCGTCTCATTGATCCGCTGCTTGACAAATGAACGTGCAGATACTTCGTCACTTCCTGTTGCCGCGGCGGGAACCAATGAAATCCTGACATTTCTTTATGTCCCGCCTGCAGCTGGACTGGCGCGTCTCAGTGAAGCAGAAATATTTTAATCAGAAAAGTAGAAATTAGACCAATTAAAAATGACTCGATAGAGAAATAATTCGGCGAAACAGTCACGATGGTTACCGACTTGACCGGACAAAGAAAGCCGTTTAAGAATCTCCACAAGTTGGAATATAATGAAAAAGTGGCTTTTTTGTTTCTCATTTCCAAAAAAACTCGTATAGATCCATGACATCTTTTTTTTTAAATCAATTTGATCATCGCTACAAAGGCCACGCTAAGAAAATAAAATCACTAGAATAATTATTACAAGAATTAAGTCAGAGTAATACGAAAAAAGTCATTGAGGCAAAGTATTAATACGAGAATATAGTCATAATACGACTATTTTTCTCGCGTTTTTGTTTTATTCTTGTGATATTACTTCTTTCTTATTTTCTTGCAAAATAAATTCTTAATCCAAATTGGATTTTCCTTGTGAAATAAAGTTTAAAAAAAAATAATTTTATTTTTTTCTTTGTATGGCCCAAATACTTCGTCGTATGTAGCTTACAGACAAACCCCTCCGCCCCCCAAATTAAGACAATTTATTATTGTGAAAAGGTTAATATAAAGTTAAGTGGAAGAAAAAAGTGTGGTAGGGAAAAGTGAAAAGTTGGCAGGAAGTTTCTGAGCACTCCGTGCTTCTTTCTGCTAACAGGATTTATGGAGATGGTGCTTTTAGCAGGACTTGGTACCGACTCACACTACTAACGGTACCAGAACCGGGTCCATAGTGTTCCTGCTTGACTGGGCACCAATTTAAAATATATTTTTTTAAATTTTGATTTTAATCTGTGGGACACAAAACATATTTATTGCTGCATAATGGCTAGATGATTTTTTTTAAAATAAGCGTTTGGGGTGTTTTATGTGTGTGTGTTTTGTTTGTTTTTAAGAGACCCAAATTAAAAAGAACAAATGTGAATTTTGCATAATAGGCCCAATTTAATCCATGTCAGAGTCTGGATTATAATCCAGGTCGGAGGTTCTGTCAGGTCCTGGTTTTCCACCCATTCGCCTCACCTCAGACGAATCAACCCGGTTCGGGGTCTTATGGGTTCAACCAGCAAATGGCGGAGCTGGCTGCACATTTTCACCTCTGGTGACCGGCAGGCGGTCGGTTCATACAGCTGCGAGGGAAATGGCAGCAGAACCGGGCCGCGGTATCGATCGTTTGGGTCCTGAACAACCAGAGCCGGCAGGGATCGATCCGTTTTAGTCCGGTTCTGAACCAGCAGCGACCCATGCTTCTCTGCACACATCAGCAGAGGGATTATTATATTTCATATCGAGGATGAGAGGTGAGTTTCAGTTGAGAGTTGACACTTTTAAAAAGATTTGAATGCATTTTTTAATATTTGAAAATTTAGCAGTGAGTGCTAGAACTGTTTAAGATATAGAGACGCTTTTCTGGATATATTTTCTATCTGCTTTTATATTAAATTATTTACGTCACTCCGTATATTATTAGATCTTCGCATATCTTTGACTTGATGTTCTACATTTGTTTAAACTCTAGTGTTTTTGTCACAATACTAATAAAATCAGAGCAACGCCACAGCATTGATTGTTTTGGTCTTTCCATTAATAAAAGTTCAGATAACCAGAGCTGACAGGAATCCGTTTCAATTATCGTTGTATCAATGCGTTGTTCATGAATGCATTCAAATTATTAAGTTCATGAGTTGTTTTAATATTTCTTTAAGTTATACTGTAATGTGAGATCATTTTTAAATATCCCCTGTGTCCTGGGAACATATTGTGATTTCCCAGGATTTCTTATTATTATCATCACTTTTTAGAAGGAATATTTTGGGAAGTTATCAGTATTTACATGCACTCAAACACTATCGTATCGAAAATACCTTGTTGAAAACGGAAGTACGTTCTCCAACTGGCGGAAGCGAACGGCATTTGTAAAGTCACTCTTTATAAAAGCAAAAGTCTGACATTTTTAGATTAATCTCAAAAATGTTCAACTTTAGAAACAAAAAAAGTATCCCTTGCTACTTGAAAGCAATAATTTCGACTATTTACTCTGTCATAAGAAATAAAATACCTTCATGTTTTCACAATGTTATTTATTCATTAATAAATGCCAGTTTCAAGCTAAATGTCTAACATGCAAAATATTTAGCTCTAAACTAAGTATTAGCTCTGACCTAAATGTACAACTACCAAAATAAAAGGTGGGTGTGGCATTGCTAATTTCAAACTCGTCATCGTTGTTTACTACAGCTTTTATTTTGATAGTCAATTTCCAATTATTAGCAAGTGAATTTGAATATTAGCTCAATATTTAGCTATGAGCTGAAGGTTTGAGAAGGCCCTTGCTACTTGATATGTATAACAGAGCTAATTATTTAGCACACTGATTAGTTTTAAGCTAAGTAGTTTCAAATTACACATTTAACAGAGAAACTAAATGCTTAGTTTGAAGCTAAATGTTTAGTTAGAATCTGTGACATTGATAAATGATGGTGACATTGTGACTGTGAAGCATTTTTCTCTTGACAGACTAAACAACTCAAATTATTTCTGTTCATTTTTGACAGTAATATAATACATTAAAAATGTCAATCCATGCAGAAATTGTTTCAACTAACTTTAGCCATGTAAAAATGTTTGTATCAGTAAATATAATGCTGTTAGTTGACAGTAATCATCTTCATTTTCACAAGAGAGCAATGTCACGTTTGGTGCCGTGTTATCCAACCAAACGTCCTTTTTCCTATGATGGCTAAGCATGCTAGCTGTATCCATTAGTTACAACCCTTCAATCCTCTCTTGGTCCATCAATAGAAGTCTAATCTTTGAGTATTTATTGACCTGCCACCAATGAGCTCACAGTGATGCAACATATTTCGACTACAGGTAAAGGAACTGACTGATAGCTTCACAGAGCCTTACTTCAAACCGTACTTCACTCCACAGAGGTCCATGCGTAGTTGAGGCAGACATCCGCCATGTCTGCTACTTGGTACTATCCAATTGGATTGTGGGAAATTAAGTTATGTGTCATAAGAAATGTGGGCAATTGGTATGCTAGGCTATGAATTCCCAACTCTACGTGGACAGCAGAGTCCGCTCAACTCAGAGTGCACACATTACGGATGTGAGTTTTAAGTGGCAGAAGCTGAGCAATGCACAACTGTTCATCTCTGAGTCCATAAAAGGCATCAATCAATTTGTGCCCCTTAGTGGAGTTCATATTGACTTGTCCACATTGTGATATTTTAAACTTGTCCATATGAGCAATTGATGTACACTCATAGTGTGCATCTTTTCAAGTTTTATGTGTTAACAGTTCTAAATGCGTGTTTCTCTTCCAATTCCAGCCCTGCTAATGTAAAAAAATGGGAGACTGGAACTTCCTCGGTGGGATCTTGGAGGAGGTCCATATCCACTCCACCATGGTAGGCAAGATCTGGCTTACTATCCTATTCATCTTCCGGATGCTGGTGCTGGGTGTGGCTGCTGAGGATGTGTGGAACGACGAACAGTCTGACTTCATCTGCAACACGGAGCAGCCTGGCTGCCGTAACGTCTGCTACGACCAGGCCTTCCCCATCTCCCTGATCCGGTACTGGGTGCTCCAGGTGATCTTCGTGTCCTCGCCCTCCCTGGTGTACATGGGCCATGCCATTTACCAGCTGCGTGCTCTGGAGAAGGAGCGACACTGCAAGAAGGTGGCTCTGCGCCGGGAGCTGGAGGCTGTGGATGCAGAGATGGTGGAGGTGAAGAGGAGGATTGAGAAGGAGATGAGGCAGCTGGAGCAGGGGAAGCTGAACAAAGCCCCCCTGAGGGGTTCGCTGCTGTGCACCTACGTAGCTCACATTGTCACTCGCTCAGTGGTGGAGGTCAGCTTCATGACAGGTCAGTACATCCTCTACGGACACCGCCTGAACACGCTGTATAAGTGTGAGAGGGAGCCGTGCCCCAATGTGGTGGACTGCTTCGTCTCCAGACCCACGGAGAAAACCGTCTTCATGATGTTCATGCAAGCCATTGCTTGCATCTCACTGTTCCTCAGCCTACTGGAGATCATGCATCTGGGCTTTAAGAAAATCAAGAAGGGCATCTTGAACTACTATCCTCACCTCAAGGACGACCTGGATGACTACTATGTTAGCAAGTCCAAAAAGAACTCTGTTGTGCATCAGGTGTGCGTTGGAACTTCAGTGGGTCGCAAGAGTACGATTCCCACTGCTCCCAGTGGATATACATTACTGCTGGAGAAGCAGGGCAATGGACCCAACTACCCCCTCCTCAGTGCTTCATCTGCCTTCGTCCCAATTCAAGGGGATCCTGGTGCAAAGCCAGAGGGCCACAAGGATGTCAAGGAGGGAATGCCAAGCCCCACGGAGCAGAACAGCAACTCCAACAACACCAGCAGTGAGACACGCTCGCCTCCTATGGACAAACACGACGAACCGGAGGATCTCTCCTCACCCCACCATGACGACCTGGAGTGTGGGAGCTCAGAGTACCCCACTCTGCCTGTGGCAGACACCTCCTCCTCCACCACGTTGTCAGGCATAGCAAGGAAGACACGGCGGCTCAGTCCACCGTGGAACTGCTCAACGGTGGTGGAGGGGAACTGTTCGGACAGCGGAGACTCCTACCATGGAAACAGCAGCATGAAGCTCCGCAGCAGCTGCGCCGGCCCC